TTCCAACTGTTACTCTGGGTGTGAGACAAAAAGCTTGCAGCCTTTAAAATGACTGCTTCTTATATCAAATGATAATCAGCATATTGATCTCCATTCCTATGCTTATGCTAGGAAAGGACTTAAATAAGTAACTTAAAGGGAAAAAATTAAAAGCCATGGTTGCTGTGCATGGTAGGACATGTCTTTAACCCCAGAACTCAGGGGGCAGAAGAGTTCAAGGACACCCAGTCAGGTTTGCACAGTGAGACCTTACCTCAGACAAAAAACAAACCACTGATCTGCAACAATACAAAGTTTATAATACTATCAAGAAACTCTAGAAAAGGAAACTGACTGAGCAAAATTGTGTTGTGATTAAATACTAAGATATTCCTTTTGTGGGAAGGTCTATGTAAGATAATTTTAAGTGGAAAAGACGATTCAAAATGGTAAATGCATACAAAACAATTTAATTTTAAAAGACTATTGATTTATAGTCACACTATATTTTAAGCAGTAAAACATAACCTACTTGTTTTTCTTTATATTGGTCACATTCAAGATAAAATAACTGCTTCCTGTCTTAGAACAGGTGTGACCTCCTGGTTCTTTGCCAGCAAAGTCTTCAAGCAGTATCTTTTCATTATTCTCTATGGATCAGAACATCTCTGTTCAAACATAGGGAGAAAAATGTTTTAAATGCTTTCAAAGCTTGTGGATCAATAAGAACTTCCTGCTGGGCACAAAGCTCAAAAATTAGAACCCATGTACCACTAGAGAATGATGGGGCTTAAGGGATTCTTAAATGCTGCGACCTTATTTTTAACAAGAGGCAAACAAATATCAGGATTGAGGCCTTGGGTGGTAGAACTTGAACTCATGCCTTGATGGCAGTTATATGTAATTTTTAGTGCATGTTGTACCTTTCCATTGTGGCAATTGAACCCAATACTTGGTACATTTTAGTCAAGCATTCTAAACAGTGATTATTAATATCTACTCTATTACACTTGGTTGTTACAATTTTCAGGAGAATAGAGATTGTGGAACATTTTTGTAGCCCACTTGGCCTATGTGTAAGGCATTTTGCACACTCACTTACAGTCACTGGAAGGCAGTAGAGCTACAGGGAAGAGGAACATCACTCCCTGTTGAGTGCTCAGAGAGTTGATGGAAGTGGAAACCTTTGGGCATTGCTCTTCTACTCTGTAAATCTGTGCTGTAGGTCCATGTATAGTTACATCATGCACATGTGTACTCACATAAAAATATGTACAGACTTTACATCTTTACACAAATTAAATTATACTTTCAAAGCTTCATGATACAGTTAATACTGAAAACTACATTCCTAGTATCAAACACTGACCTGAATTCTCCTCATAAATAGTGAGTAAAATTGCAGTAGCAATATTCTGTATGTTGAAAACAACACCCTTCCCCTGAATCTGGGTGTCAGTGAGGAGGCCTAGGGAATCTATTGAGCCTTGGGCAGCAGATCAGTACCCATCCCAAGTATACACACGGACTTTGGACTCCCATAGAACAATGTGAGGTGCACTCTCACCCTGAACTCTTGGGGAAGGGTCTAGGCCCTGCCCTATATGAAATGACAGACTATGGACACCCCCATGGAGGGCCTCACCCTCCCTGGGGGAATGAGGGGATAAGGGGGGGGGTTGGGGGGAGGGCACGGGAGGAGGGGAGGGAATGGGAGAGGGACCTGGAACTGACTTGTGAAGCAACCTCATTTCTTATCTAAATTTAAACTGGAAAATAAAATATAAAAAAAAGAAAACAACTCCCTTAAGTTGAGGCTTAAAGCTCCTGCTGCTTCTATTTTCCTGGTTACAAATTGTCAGAAAGAGCTCTATTCACAGGCTTGTGCACTGCTCTCTTTCTTAAAGTACCCATTTGTCTTTGTGTGTGTGGTGTTTCGCCTGCATATAGGACTGTGTACCACATGTGTGCCTAGTACCTATGGAAGTCAGAAGAGGACTTCTATCTCCTGGAATTGGAGTTTGAGACATTTAAGAGCTGCCACATGGGTGCTGGCAATCAAGTCCTCTGGAAGAACATCTAGTGCTGTTATGCACTGAGCCATCTGTCCAGCCCCTGTTTTTGTTTAGGATAAATTTCCACTGGTAGACCCAGGTGACAGTTCCAGTGTTCTATTTCCAATGTGAGAACAAAGAGGACCTTCTGTCATGGTAGTTGACAGTCCCACAGCCTCCAGTGGCTCTCATCACTTCAGTGGGTTCTTTGTTTCAGTGCTGGAATCCTAAAATCCCAAGCACTTACATGTGCTCAAAAGACACTCTACACTCCTGTGTATCCCAATCCCCCAGAAACTTTATAAATAAGAGATAAAATTACTTACACCATGTCAAATTATATATATACACAAGGGAAGCTTCTCTAATAATCACAGATGCAGGAACACATCACTTCCTGTCTTCCTGTACAGTCTTCCAGACCTCTATAGTTAACTAATGGCTAGCTCTGCCCTCTGACTCCAAGCAAGCTTTATTTGACAGAACACAAACAAAATATCACACTATTATAATGCCACTATTAAGAAGAATGAACTTGTTGGAGTAGGTGTAGCCTTGAAGTAGTGTGGGAGTAAGTGTGTTGCTGTTGGGGTGGCTTCAAATTCTTATATGTTCAAACCAGGCGTTGGTGGCGCACACCTTTAATCCCAGCACTCGGGAGGCAGAGGCAGGCGGATCTCTGTGAGTTCGAGGCCAGCCTGGTCTACAGAGCTAGTTCCAGGACAGCCTCCAAAACAATGCAGAGAAACCCTGTCTCGAAAAACCAAAAAAAAAATTCTTATATGTTCTAGGTAGGCCTAGTATGGCATTCACTTCCACTGCCTGCAGATCAAGATGTAGAACTCTCAGCTCCGTCTCCAGCACCCTGTCTGCCTGCACGCCAACATGCTTCCCTCCATTACTATAATGGACTGAACCTCTGAACCTGTAAGTCAGCCCCAGTTTAATGTTTTCCTTTATAAGAGTTCCCTTGGTCTTGGTGCTTCTTCACAGCAATAGAAACACTGACACTGTTTCAATAGGTTATGACCACATGTTGTTATGACTTCCTTGTTACAACTACCTTATAATCATGTCTTTGTTTCCGTTTCACAAGAGGTTGTTGTTACTCACTTGGTAAGCTTATGTTCTGCTCCTGTAGCCCCACCTGTCTTTGGGGCCAAATTCCTAATTTGGAAAAACCTTATGCCTTAGCTATAAAAACCTTGTATTCCTCATACCCAATGCTGACCTCTAGAACCCTGCCATAGGGGAAGGAAGCAAGACTACAGCAATAAAATAAGCTTGCTTTAACTAATAGCTTTAATTAGCATTGTAGGGAAAAGGGTCCAGCCAAAGAAACACACCCTGAGCAGAGCCAAAGAAACACACTTTGGCCCTGCAATCAGAACCAAAGAAATGTACCCTGACCCTGAAACCAGTGCCAAAGAAACACATTTTGTCCCTGGAATCAGAGCCAGTGAAAGAAATACACCCTGGACCTAAAACTAGAGCCAACAGGCTAAAAAGGACCAGAGAAAGAAACACACTTCGGCCCTAAAACCAGAGCCAAATCTGACCCTAACCCTGTGCAGAAAACTAGCCAATATCTGAGGAGATTAAAATCTGACCAATCCCCACCCTAAAAGTCCTATATAAACCCTGTGTCTGTTCAGCTTGTAGCTGTTGGTGCTATCCGGCTGTCCTCTGCCACTCTGACAGAGGGCAGCCACTCTCCAGGATTCTTCCCTCCCAATAAACCCCTTCAATGAACTTTGAGTGGAGACCTTCTTTTGCGGCAGAGCAGAGACGACCACCGGCAGAGTAGAGCGAGCAGGGCTGTAACACTTCTGCGGCAGAAACCTTCCCTTGGCAGAGCCAAGTTGTTGCACTCCACTATCCACTCTCCCAGGAACAGAGCTGAACTGTAGCAACTTCGCCAGGGAAATCTTCTCCTGCGGAAGCAAAACTGCTAAACTTGGCAAACATCCCCAGCTGGAAGAACCTCTCCTGCTGGAGTAGAGCCGGTACCTTGGGGAAGTCTTTCCCTGAAACAAGGCTGTAAACTGCTATGCTTACTGTGACCTGTGGTATTCCTTGGCTCCCTAGTGCCAGAACACCTTTCCATCCAAGCTGTAACACTCAGTATTGTGTGGCTCCCGAGCTCCAGGATATCTTTCCATCTGAGCTGTGTAACACTCAGTATTCTGTGACTCCCAAGCGCCAGAATACCTGTCCCATCTGATCCGTCCAAAATGCTTACTAACATGGCCATGATTTGGGCTGGTGGTGTTTCTTCTTCCATATGCGGGATTAACACCATATCTAGTAGACCCCACAGATCTTCTGCTCCTATCCCTGCCGCCAACTCCAGCAGGCACAACCTGGGAACCACAGGCCACGCTGACCAGGAAAGCAAACAGGTTACTGCAGGTCTTCACCTCCACTCCACCAAATCCAGTCCCCAAATCTCATCCTCAGAGCTCCAGCAGACCTCCTGCTGTGGCCTCCACACTCTGCCCCAACACGCAATCATCCAGGAAGCTTCTTGTAGAACATCTCTTAGCTCTCCTAGTAAATGTGCTGTTAATGCAATCACAGTTTTATTTTACTATATATATATACATATATATGTATATGCATATATGTATATATATTTCCCTCTAATGACTTATTATAGCATTTTATAGTAGCATCGAGCCTGGTCCGTGCATGTGATATTTTCTTTTGTCGATGAGATACACGTTTCAGGTCGTATTTCATTGTATTTCCTGAGCTCTTCTTTCTAGATGTTTTCTTTGACCTGTCTTTCATATTAATGGCTCTTGGAAAGTTTGTGGTGATTTATGGTTGATTTGACGTCTCCCTACAACTCCTGGACCAGCTCTCTACAGGTATGGCGGCAGTCCGGCGCGTGCGCAGTGTACGCCTGAGGCCGTTGCGCATGCGCACGCACACGCGTTGCCCCCCCTCACTTCCGCTCCGTTCTCCCACCTCGGGGCTGAATGGCTGTCCCCGACGCCGCGGGTGTGGAGGAGGTGGCTGTTCAGCGCCGCGAGCCCAGGTGACTCGCCCTCCTCCTGCCTGAGCCCCTCGGCCTGGGCGGCCCCTCCGGCCTGAGCTCTTTCCCTGGCGGCCGCGGCTCCTTCCCTGGGACAATATGTTCAAGAGAATGGCGGAATTTGGGCCTGACTCCGGCGGGAGAGTGAAGGTCAGTGCGCAGGCGCGGCGCGCCGGCGGCGGTGACGGCCGAGTCCACTCGGGCCCTCGGCTCTCCGGCTGGCTCCGCCCCGCTCGGCGCTCATTGGGCCCGAGTCCCCTGTCACCTTCTCCCGTCCCGCGGACTAGCAAAGGTTTCCGGGTGGGCTGGAACAGTCTGTGGCGATTACAGAGGTGGTACCTGCTGTGCGTGGGTACGTCGTCCGCGAGACTTGTCATTCCCGAAGTCATCAAAGGAGCACCGAGCTGCTTTCGTGTTTAGTGAACGTGGGTCCCCAACATAATGTTGGAGGCTGTGACACTAATTCCCACACGTTTATTTTAGCATCTTTTTGTGTTATTGATAGGAGGTGGAAGTCAGGACAGCTCGCAGGAGCTGGTTCTCTGTGTCACCCTGTGGGTGAGTCCTTGGTGTCAGTCTCTGATCTTCCAGCTTGCGCTGCAGGCGTCTGCCCGGTGTGCCATCTCCCCAGCTCCTTCCTACAGGCAGGCCCGACTGGTTCCTGATGCCCTTCTCCCTTTAACTTCTACTTTTAAATCTATCACAGGAATTAGGGTTTTTTGTTGTTTTGTTTTTGTTTTGTTTTAAGATTTACTTATGTATACAGTATTCTGTCTGCTTGTATACCTGCAGACCAGAAGAGGGCACCAGATCTCAATATAGATGGTTGTGAGCCACCATGTGGTTGCTGGGAATTGAACTCAGGACCTCTGGAAGGCCACCTAGTGTTCTTAACCACTGGGCCATCTCTCCAGCCACTAAGTTTTTTGTTTTTGTTTTGGTTTTGGTTTTGGTTTTTTTCGAGACAGGATTTCTCTGTGGCTTTGGAGGCTGTCCTGGAACTAGCTCTTGTAGACTAGGCTGGCCTCGAACTCACAGAGATCTGCCTGCCTCTGCCTCCCGAGTGCTGGGATTAAAGGCGTGCGCCACCAACGCCCGGCAAGGTTTTTTTTTAATCTTATCAGTGTCATACTATTTTTATGTTACCATAATCAGTGTCTATACACCCAAAGCTGTTTTTATATTAAATGTAAAGTGAGAATTCCTCAGCAGTCTTAAAGTCACTGAAATGTAATAGGAAGAAGAAATGCTAAGTTATGTCCATGTTAGTATAAGAGGCGTCATAGAAGTATGCATTTGCCTAGCCTTTAGTGAAGAATTTGAGCCACTTTTGAAATGATTACAGAGCAGAGGGTTAATGTGAAAACTTCTGTCTACTTTGGGCATGTTAGGTTCTAGTCGTTTGTAAATGTTAGCTCAGGATAACTTGAGAAAGTTAGGTCTTAAACATTGGGGGCTTGTTTTTCTTTGCCGATTACTGTGTGCTCTCAGAGTTATCTTTTTCCAATACAGATAAACCTCGTCCTAGAAGAGAGTCTGCTCACGAGTCCTTTCTGTTACTGACAGATTGATATTCCTTACACCACCATACTAGCTGTGGGATCTGTGTATTGTTTGCTTACCAGGTCTGCACCCTTGAACTCAGTTCCATCAGCCCTGATCCTGAGGTCATCTATACCTCTGGTGGTCACATGACAGTGTCATCAGTGGTCCTTGCCATAGTAGTCAGGCTCACATAAAAGCTGCTTGCCTTCTCTTGAATTCACTTTAAAGCGTTTTCATTGCGTCTATTGTTTGTTTGTTCCTGTGGGTATATGCATGCTACAGCATTGGTGTAGAGGTCAGAGGATACATAGCTCAGCAGTCCTGGGGACCAAACTCTGGTCATCAGGCACAGTAACAGGTGCCTTTGCCTGCTGAGTCATCTTACTGGCCCAGAATTAACTGTGGATGTACAGGGTTTGATTTATTTACTTAGCTCTCAGGCTACAGTTTAACATTTTCCACTGGCTTGCTGTTTCCTTTTTTTTTTTTTTTTTTTTTTTTTTTTGGTTTTTCAAGACAGGGTTTCTCTGTGGCTTTGGAGGCTGTCCTGGAACTCACTTTGTAGACCAGGCTGGCCTCGAACTCACAGAGATCCACCTGCCTCTGCCTCCCAAGTGCTGGGATTAAAGGCGTGTGCCGCCAACGCCCAGCCTGTTTCCTTTTTCTTAATTAATTCCTTAGTGTTTCTTACACTGATATGCTCTTTGACCTTTGCATATTTCTATATTGGACAGTACATCTCAGATCTGTGTACAAAAATTGGTGTTCTTAATGTGTTTTCCGTCATAACCTGTGAATACAGCCTTTACACCAGTGGGAAGCAATGAAAACGTCTAGAATTTAGCACAGCTGTAGCAGATGTACTACAGGCCACCAGCTAGCATGCTTCAAGCCTTCAGATGCCCATTTACTATTTTTGCCATACTTGCATCCACCAATATTTATTGTAACATTTATACTTTTTTCTTAAAGATTTATTTATTATGTATACAGTGGTCTGCCTGCATGAATGCCTACAGGCCAGAAGAGGGCACCACATCTCATCACAGATGGTTGTGGTTGCTGGGAATTGAACTCAGGACCTCTGGAAGAGCAGTCAGTGCTCTTAACCTCTGAGCCATCTCTCCAGCCATAACATTTATACTTAATTCTATCTTTTTGTTCTCTTCCTGACCATTTTGAGTTGAGAGTTCAGCTTTCTAGCTGTAGCTGTGTCTTGTGTAATGTGTATTAAGCCCATTGGTTTAGTTAGCTTTTCATTGTTGTCACAAAATTCCCGAAAGAAACCATTCTAAAGGGGGACAATTTATTTAGGCTCTAGGCTTGAGTTGTGTAGCCTCTCACCACAGAAGCCAGTGAACAGAAACCAGGAATTGGATTCTAAGTTTACTTTTATTCAGAGAGCCAGCAGTTGGACAAGGCAGCAGATAGCACCCCACACACTGCCTTCTAGTTCCTCTCGAGTCAATTTGTAGGTAGGGGGAGCTGGAGAGAGGAGGTCCATCATTGAGAGCTTAGTTTTGCCCCTCTGGTCAGGTGGTCAGCCATGTTTCTTCTTACTACCCCTTGCTCTCTTCCCTGTCCTCTCTTGAAATGCCGCGTCTAGTTAAGTGTGTGCTGGCATCAACCTTGTCCTCTTCCAGGGGCATCTATGCCAAGGGGACTTAAGTCAGAAGAAACCAAGCGTCAACAGCTCCCATACAAAGCATTTAGTGACTCTGTGCAGAATCCTTTCTACTGTACAGAATGCAAATGTGTCGATAACACAGAATGTAAAATGCCCCTATTTGTCCCGACTGTCCTCCATCACTTTCTACCTGTGGTCATTTAGAAGCATGGCAGCTGAACATCATGGCAGGGAGCCCATGGCAGAGCAAAACTGCTGATCTCTGTAGCTGGGGAAGCGAGGAGGAGCCAAGAACAGGATAGACCCTCTAGAGACCCAAGTAGCCTGCTTGCTCCCACAGGGCACCGCCTCCTAATAGGCCATTCAGCTGTGAGCGCAGCAGTGTACAAATTCATTGATGAATTTAGTGCCCTCCTGATGCGAGCATGTCTCAGGGCCACCAGCTGGAGACCAAGCTTTCAACAATAAGCCTTTTGAGGGGTACTTCATATCCAAATTGTAATGTACATAATGATGACAATGGAAAATGTTTGCCCTAAAATTCTCTCATAAATTGTCCTTGATTTTTATGCTGTGCTTTGGAAGTTCTGCCATAAATTAATTAATTGCCTTTAGCTGCAAGCCAGTCAAATTGGCAATTGTCTTCCGTGTCCTAGCTTTTAGGTTTGTGAAGACATTTTGTTTTTCTTTAATCAAATACTCATGTGCCTTACATGTGATTAGATGAGAACATTCAAGCCATCTTTCAAGCCATGGAACAGCTCAGCAGGTAAAGGCACTTGCTGCCAAGCCTGATGACCTGAGTTCAGGCCTCAGGCCCCACATAGAGGAAGGAGGAGAATCTCCTCCTGCAGACCGTTCGTCCTCCACATGTACTGTGCACTGCAGGCTGTGCACACAGATGCACAAAATAACAAGGATTTCAAGTAGCGAGCACTGTCAGCTACCGTGTGGGTGCTGGGATCCACTGCTGAACTGTCTCCCCGCCGCTCAGATAGGAAAGTTATAATTGTTACTTACTCATTGTGTTTACATGAAATAAGTGTGAAAACGGGTTGAAGGGATCCGTGTTCTAACTAAACCCTAAAGTAGTTAGAAGCTGTTCACTGTGACAAGCTGTCAGTGCTCACTGTTTATTCACTGATGGTGACATACTTACTGATTTTTAAACTTGCTTTTCTTTTAGGGGGTTACCATCGTTAAGCCAATAGTTTATGGTAATGTTGCCCGATATTTTGGGAAGAAAAGGGAAGAAGATGGACATACCCACCAGTGGACAGTATATGTAAAACCATACAGAAATGAGGTAGGCATTTTTTTTTCTGTAGTTATCTTTTGAAGTACAGTTTGTTTACTTGACAGTAAATTATGAAATTCAGTGTAGTAACTTTGCAAGAATGAAGTGGGCCCATTATAGAATTCCCACCCCACCCCCATCTGAAACAAAATAAACAACATTTGTATCTTCATGTAATTAATGGAACAGTTTTTCAGAATGTCTTCTGATTAAGATAACGGGCTGGAGAGATGACTCAGCAGGTAAGAGCAAGCAATGCTCATGCAAAGGACTTGAGTTTGGTTCCCAGCGCCCGCATAGGGCAGCTCACAAGTGCCATAATTGCAGCTCCAGAGGTCCAGAGCTTCTGACTCCCTGGGCACCCATATGCCCCATGGGCACCTACATGCACACACACATAAACACATTCGCACAAACATGTACTCATATGAGAAGACACACACATCTGTTCTCATGTGAACACTGGCTTTGTTTTGTTTGCTGTGTTGGGAGAAGAAACCAGGTGTGTTTCCTGAACTACATCCCTGCCCTTTAAACATTTCGTTCTGAAACAGAGTCTAGCCAGGTTGCCCAGGCTACCTCAAACTTACGTCCTTCCTCAGCTTTTCAGCCAGCTGGGGTTACAGCTAACTGTAACAGCTAACTCTTGTTTTGTTATGTCCTGTAAACTTCGAAGGAAAGTATATTTTTAGCATGTACACATACTAAGTGTATTTCCATTGGAGAACTAATTTCTCTTTATTTTAGGATATGTCAGCATATGTGAAGAAAATCCAGTTTAAATTGCATGAAAGCTATGGCAACCCTTTAAGAGGTGTGTTACAGTTTTTGGCTCATAATATACATAATTACAAAAGGAACATGAACTGAATCAGTAATTTACAATTGTTTCTTTCTCTTCCCTCTCTAGTCGTTACTAAGCCGCCCTATGAAATTACTGAAACAGGATGGGGTGAATTTGAAATAATCATCAAAATATTTTTCATTGACCCTAATGAAAGACCGGTGAGTAACATTAACCTTTGCAAGCAGAAAAGAGAGCATTTGGTGAGTGAGCCCATGTAATACTTACTGAAAATCTGGTGTTTGTTCACATGGTCCCCTGTACGCCTTGTTACTTAGGATCTTTCAGTTTAGAAAGAAACTAAATTTTTGAAGGGGGATGGGGTGGTACTAAGGTCCTGGCAGAGCTGAATGTCAAGAACTCTCACAGCCCTAGTGGCTCAAGCTGGTTAACCTCAACACCATCAAGTCCTTGCCAGCCTGGCCACAGAATAAGACCCTGTAACAGAACAAAAAGATAGAAGAAGAATTAAAAGTGAGCATGGGGAGACCGCAGCAGTCCCAGCGCTCCGCGACTTCTCAAGAAAACAAAAACAGAAAGTTCACGAAGTGACAGGGAGGTACACCTTAGTCCTAGTACTCGAGAGGCAGAGGCAGGCGGATCTCTGTGAGTTTGAGGCCAGCCTGATCTACAGAGTGAGTTGCAGGACAGCTTGGACTGTTACACAGAGAAATCCTGTCTTGAAAAAGCAAACAAACCAATCAAACCAGAAAACCCTATCTGCCAGAAACCAAGTGAAGTGCTTCAGGACTCGTGTGCTGTGTGCATACTCGGTCTCCATCCTTGTGCTCCCGGGCCGTAGACTCGGCAGCAGCTGTTGTCTGTCCCAGGATTTATTGAACACATCTTCAGTGTGGCCACATAATTCATCTTCTCACTTAAGATCATCTGCTGTTGCTGCTGTAATGCTCTGGGGATTTGCCTTCTTCCTTTCCGCACCCCTACCCCAAGCTAGGAGTAAAGCAGAGCCCTGTATTACTGAGCTGTAGTCTGAACCTGGAAATGCCCTTTGAAGGTAGGGGATCTCCACTGGCTAAGTCCTATCCAAGGAAGGTGGGTGGACATCTCTAAGTTATTTCATTTGTTTAAATTTAGTGGGAAATGTTTGTTCATTTTTCTCTACAGAGTATACTTCCTATTTTGGGATGGTTTGGAAGAACCCTGTTTCCTTACAGTGATTTTGTGGGTAGGTCTGTGGACCTCAGGATTGGTTTGGCCGGTTCACCATGAGCTGTGCAGCTTTGCCAGCTCTCGTGTTTGGTGGAGTGATGGCATATGTTCTACAGCTCAGTACTCCTTCTGAGGCCTCAGTACACCTGTGTTTAAGGGCAAGGTGCCCTTGCAGAGTGAGCTACCTGCCGACTGTAGAGGATCTGGCTCCCATTGGAGATTTTAGTATTAATCATTCTTTTAGAAAAGTATCCCTCTCCCCCCAACAGTCTCATTTTGCAGCCCAGGCTGCTGACACAGAACTCAGGAACACTCCTGCTCAGCCTCCCGCATGCTGGGATGACCACCACACAAGCTGCAAATCCTTTCCCCAAATAAATCTGGAAACTTTAATATTCACAGAAAACGATGAAAAATCCCATAGCTTCATGTGTGTTATTTGGGTATATTTACTCTCTAGAGATGCTCACCTCACCTCTGTGAAATGTGGATACACGGTATACCTGGTACTAAAACAAAGGACAGGAACTTTGGGTGAATTGCCACCTAAATTACAACTAAAGCAAGACTGTTAATTTGATATATTTACTAATTTCATTCCATAATTCAGCTAAAGAAATGACAGTGTCATCCAAGCCTGGTGTCACATACCTATAATCTTAGCATTTGAGAAGTGAAGGCAGGAGGATCAGGAGTTCCAGGCCACCCTTCTGCTACATAGTGAGCTTGAGGCCAGCTGGGGGGTCTCTGCAATCCAAGCATGGAGAGAGATGGGACTGACCGACTGTACGAATGTTTTCCATGCTGATGGAATCACTGGATGGATGGTACCCATTCTGCTTACAGGTGACTCTGTATCACTTACTGAAGCTGTTCCAGTCTGACACCAATGCAATGCTGGGGAAAAAGACAGTGGTTTCCGAGTTCTATGATGAAATGGTAAGACATTATAATGACAGGCTTTTAAAAAACTTTCAGTTATGGTGTGGGGTCAGAACACAGCTTTGGGAAGTTGGTTCTCTCATCGTGTAGATCTCAGGGGTTGAACTCGGGTCACAAGGCTGGGCTGCAAACACCTCTACCTGCTGAGCATTCTCTCGAGCTCTTACAGTGAGTTTTAAAAGCACTTAAGCTGGAGACCTTTGGAGTTACTGTGCTTTTTTTCTCATTTTATCCCTTAAGATATTTCAAGACCCAACAGCAATGATGCAACAACTGTTAACAACATCTCGTCAGCTAACCTTAGGAGCCTATAAACACGAAACAGAATGTAAGTCCTTCCATGTGTTCTGTAATAGTGAAAGAATTGTTTGGTTAGTGGCTTTTTTTGAGGTAAATTTGTTGGGAGTTAATAAACAAGCTATGTATTACCATAGATGACAGCAATGAGCTAAATAAAGGAGAGCAGTCACTAATATTTCCTGAGCACTTTTAGGTGATGGATGCTTTAGTTCCAGTTACTTCTCTTAGTCCTCAAACCTGTGGGAAGTGCCTAGTTTTAACTGTCATACGGTAAGAGAAATGAAGGTAGATTTAGAAATAACTGAGTTAGCTAATAGGGAGTGAGGACGTATTTGAGCTCGAGTCTTTGTGACTTCAAAGTTAGATTTTTCTCACTGTACAGCTTGTTGCTTGCCCATTAGCGACTCATGTTTGTGAGAACATCCGAACTTTGTGAGCAGCAATTACCTAAGGCTTCCACAAGATGGCAATATTGGCTGCAAGCAGGAGTTTTTCTTTGTCAAGACCATAGCATATTTAAGTAGATGGTATCTCATTTTGTGTGTAAGACATTTATCTGGTAATTTTTTTTGGGGGGGGGGGTTTCCGAGACAGGGTTTCTCTGTGGCTTTGGAGGCTGTCCTGGAACTCGCTTGGTAGTCCAGGCTGGTCTCGAACTCACAGAGATCCGCCTGCCTCTGCCTCCCGAGTGCTGGGATTAAAGGCGTGCGCCACCACTGCCCGGCTATCTGGTAATTTTTAATGTACTCAGCTGAAATTTTTGCTTTTGCATTGCTGGAGGTTGAATCCAGCACCTAAGCAGACTCCACCACAAGCTATATCACCAGCCTCTAGACATTTTTAAATAACAACACTCTTTTGTCAGCATAAATATTTGTAATAATAGTTAATAAAGTGTAGGTACTTTCTACACATTGGTTCATTTAAGATATTCTGAATAGGGCTAGGGAGGTGGCTTGGTTGCTGAAGTACTTATGTGCACAGGATCGGAGGTTGGATGGCCAGCACCTCTGTAACAAACTGGATGTGGCCTTTAATCCCAGCACTCAGGAGGCAGAGGCAGGCGATCTCTGTGAGTTTGAGACCAGCGTGGTCTACAGAGTGAGTTCCAGGACGGCCTCCAAAGTCACAGAGAAACCCTGTCTCGAAAAAAACAAACAAACAAAAAGCTGGATGTGGTGGCATATGCCTACAGTCCGAGAGCTGGTGACACACAGGTGGGAAGGTCACTGGGGCTCACTGGCCAACTGTTCTTGCCCGTCAGTGAGCTCCAGGTTTAGTGCGAGACCCTGTCTGCAAACAGTAAGGTGGAGAACGATGGGAGAAGTCCTGAAATTGTCCTCTGGCTGCACACACATGCACGCACCTCACACACAGGCACACACACACATACATGTATGCACCACATACACACACACACACATACACATACTTCACACACACGCACACATACATGCATGCACCTCAGACACACATGCAAACACACCCTGCACGTATGTACACACACACACACACACACAATCTTATCAACAAATACTTATCCATTATAATTATGTCATAAATGAGTGAGTGTAGAAATGTGTCATAACTAGCAGAGCTAGATTTCAAATTTAGACAGTTTTGCTCTTTTTTTAGTAAAACAACTAGAGGCTTATTTTAGTGGTGTGATTTTGCTATGTAAATTGCACCTGTGCATTAGTTAAAACTGTTTTTGGACTGGGTGGTGATGGTGTCCATGTCTTTAATCCCAGCACTTGGGAGGCAGAGGCAGGCAGATCTCTGTGAGTTCAAGGCCAGCCTGGTTTACAGAGTGAGTTCCAGGATAGCCTCCAAAGCTACTGTCTTGCAAAAGAAGAAAAAGAAAAAATATTTTTGGTTGGTTCACTAACATTTCTTAGGTTTGAATGTCCCTTATTCCAAAGAAAAACAAAGAAATGATGTCTCAAAATGTGAACTGTGAGTAGCTGCAGTTCCATGTTTCTAGAAAACAGCTTGGACCCTCTGTTGGAGTTTAGACTTCCTACCCTCTCTACTTTCGTGTTCTGTGTGTCCACCTTTCCTCCTGGAGACAGTGACCTTAGGAAACACAGTTTGCTCTTCTGTGTGCACCTTAGTATAAGAAGGAAGAGTTCTCAGCTCGAGTATTTGTCTTCAGTTGCAGAACTTGAAGTGAAAACCAGAGAAAAATTAGAAGCTGCCAAGAAAAAAACAAGCTTTGAAATTGCTGAGCTCAAGGAAAGATTAAAAGCAAGTCGTGAAACTATAAATTGTTTAAAAAATGAAATCAGAAAGCTTGAAGAAGATGATCAGACAAAAGACATATAAGCACTGGCAATAAGCCAAACTGAAAGTAGGAGGCCCTACAGAGATCGGACTTGGTGCAGATGCTGTGTGTGATGTTTCTTGGAGGAGCTGTGTGTGAGTTTGCCAGCCACGATTTCTCATCTGTGAGGTCCAAGTAGTCACACAGCTCGAGCCGTGGGAAATCCATCTGTGTTAAGAGTCGATGCCATGTGGCATTCATGATGTCAAGCACAACTTTCAAAGTGTTTGTTTTTTAAATTGGACTATGTGTAGTTTATTTTCCTTTAGTCAGGCATCAAAATTTTGTTATACTTGTACAGATTTATAGTGTGTAAATTAGTACTAGGTAGATTGGTATATGTATCTAAATTTTCAAGTTCTTACCTGTCCCATGCTCCCTCTTTTGTTTATGATGTCTCGTAAGTATTCAGTAAATGAAGTCTACTGCTCTTATGTCTGTCTCCTGTGACTTCTCCAGTCACTTTCCCACCGTGTAATTTTAACCAAATATATAAATGTTTTTGTTTTGTTTGAAATTTCATACAATGTGTTTTATATCCTCTTTTTTAATTTAATCCATTAACTCAAGTTTGCTCTCCATATACTTCTGGGAGTGGAATGTCGACATATCCTTAAAGAAGATTGACTCCCTCTCTCCCTGAAGCCATCATCTGTCTATAGATCCTCAGTTAGGGGTGGGGACTACTGAGGACATTCCCTCCTAACACGTAGGCCATCACAGAAATGACCGAGAAGTGGCGAGTATGACAGACTGAAGAGCCGGGCCCTTTCCGGAGTAAGAGGTAAGGTCCGGCCGCGGCAGCCATCTTCCAGTAACTCGCCAAAATGACAAACACAAAGGGCAAGAGGAGGGGCACTCGCTACATGTTCTCTCGGCCTTTTAGGAAGCATGGAGTTGTTCCTTTGGCTACGTACATGCGAATCTACAAGAAGGGTGATATTGTAGACATCAAGGGAATGGGCACTGTTCAAAAAGGAATGCCCCATAAATGTTACCATGGCAAAACAGGAAGAGTCTACAATGTCACCCAGCATGCTGTGGGCATCATTGTGAACAAGCAAGTTAAGGGCAAGATTCTTGCCAAAAGAATTAACGTGGGGATTGAGCACATCAAGCACTCTATGAGCAGAGACAGCTTCCTGAAGCGGGTCAAGGAAAACGACCAGAAGAAGAAGGAAGCCAAGGAGAAGGGCACCTGGGTTCAGCTGAAGCGCCAGCCTGCACCACCCAGAGAGGCACACTTTGTGAGGACTAACGGGAAGGAGCCTGAACTGCTGGAGCCCATTCCATATGAATTCATGGCCTAATGTACAAAAAGAAATAAAAGACCTGGACTTTAAAGGGTTTTTCTTAAGTTAAAAATAAAAAAAATAAAAAAAAAAAAGAGGTAAGGTCCATGTCTCTCAGTGTGCCGTGGTGAACTCGAGTGAACCGCCATGATCCTGACCAAAAAACGGATGGTTGAAGTCTGGGCATTGTTATGCTTTGAGACAGTGTCTTACTGCGTAGCCCTGGATGGCTTTGAACTCACTGAGATGTGCCTGCCTCTGTCACCCAAATTCTGTCATGAAAGGCTTGTACCACGGTGCCCAGCTTATCTGGGTATTTTTAATATTGGGGTGGGGAGAGGCGACAGCACATTCATACCACAGCTCCATGGCCACAGGGGAGTTTTCTGAGTCAGGCGTCTCCCACCTCGTTGAGGCGGGGTCCCTCCTGTTTCTGCTGCTGCACTGCATCCTCAGAGTCAGCAGGCCTCTGAGCCTCCGCGTGATTCTTTGCGGCCTCCTACCACTGTAGGAGCGCTGAGATGACGGTGTGCACTCAGCATCTAGCTGTGTATAGGACTTGGAGGGCTCGGCCCAGGTCACCAGGATTGCACAGCCAGTGACTACCTACTGAGCCGTGTCCTGGGGATGAGTCTGGACTTTTGGATCTGATTTTTTGTTTTGTTTTGTTTTGTTATTCTTATTTGAGACAGGGATTCTCTGTGTGGCCTTGGCTTTCCTGGAACTCACTCTGTAGACCTGACTGACCTCAAACTCAAAGAGATCCACCTGCTTCTGCCTCTCAAGTGCTGGGATTAAAGGCATGTGCCACCACTGCCCAACTAATTAATCTTTTTTTGTTGTTTAAGTCCTTAAGGATATAAGAGATATTCAGTGGCTTCCTAGATGGTAGTAATCTTAGACAATACACTGCAATTCCCAAGTCAGAGGAGCTCTCCTCCACCCACTGAATTTTTTGTCCTTTCTTGCTCTCCCTAGCTGCTAGCTTCCTAAGGCTATCTGTTCTGTCTATGCCCCTTAATCCCTTAGTAAGCCTTGATTTGAAAATTCCCAGCCAACTGGATCTGCACCTGCTTTGTTCACCCAATGAGCATAGATGTAACTGAAAGGGATCTTAGGGAATATTTCATTCAGTTCATATCTGATATTGAAATTAAGTCTTGAAAAACTGAAACTAGGGCTGGAGAGATGACTCAGAGGTTAACAGCACACTGGCTGCTCTTCCAAAGGTCCTGAGTTAATTTCCAGCAACCACATCATGGTTCACAACCATCTGTAATGAGATCTGGCGCCCTCTTCTGGCCTGCAGAGATACATGCAGACAGAACACTACAAAATAAATACACAAATTTAAAAAAAAAAACCTAAAACTACTGACGTCATATAACCAGTCCAGGTCATGGTAGGATTTGAATGCAGCATTTCCTGTTGCTGAGCAGGCATGAACACTCACTTATGATACACACACAAAGCTCAGAGAACAATGAACTGGAAATCATGATGTTTACTTCCTAAGAAACCAGCTTCCCTGGCCAGGCAGAGGTGGTACATACCTTTAATCTCAGCACTTAGGAGGCAGAAACAAGTGGATCTCTGTGAGTTCAAGGTAATCCTGATTTAGAGTGAGTTCCAAGACAATGCAGGCTACACAGAGAAACCCTGTCTCAAAAAAAAAACTTGCAGTAACAGATGACTCAATTGAAAACTGAGCAAGATGGTTGAGAGTGTCCTGCAGGACAAAAAGGAAGTGATGGACCAGAAGCATCTCTAAAATTTCTCTGGTGGGGGCTAGAGTGGTAGCTCAGTAGTTAGGAGCACTTGCTACTCTTGCAAAGGGCTAGGCTTAGTACCCAGCACCCATATGGTGGTTCACAACTAATTATAACTAGAGTCTCATTAGAGTCTCAGGCGATCCGACACCCTCATGGCCTCCACAGGCACCAGATATACATACATATATACACACATGAATCTTTAAAGACTAAAGACTCCTTGCAGTGATGGCGTGGGTGCAGAGTCCAGCCAAGCTGTGGTAGCTTGAGTAACGGCAGGGCGAGCTTTTAGAGAGTTTCTTCCACTCTTGGGACAAAATCATGGTTGAAAGGAGTACAGCCACTGTAAGCAAAGGTGGCATTATGGTTCCAGAAAAATCTCAAGGAAAAGTATTGCAAACAACAGTGGTAACCATGGGACCAGGCCCTAAGGAAAGGCTGGAGAGAGCCAACCGGTTAGTGAGAAAGCTGGAAACAAAGTTCTCCCAGACCACAGAGCACCAAAGCAGTTCTAGACAACACGCTTACTTTTGACTTAGAGACGGTGACATTCTTGGAAAGTATGTGAGCCAAAATCACTGTTGACTTGGTGTTTTATGAAGCTGCCCGAACCACCAACATTCTAAACTGTTTCATCATGTCAATAATTTTCATGTCTCCCTTTATAATAAGCCAACGACACCTTAACTAATGACATCCACTGTTTCTGTTTTGCTACACTGTAATAAACATCCCCAAGAAAAATAATGTTAAACAAACAAAAAAACCTTTTCTGGTGTAGCAATGCATGCCCGGGGATCTTTGTGACTCTCTCTTTTAAGACCAGCGTGCCTAAAATTGGCATCGATGGTTTTCCAAATTCCAGCGCTGCTTCAAATGCACCCAGACCCCATTGCCAGAAGATGCCTAAATCCAAGTCTCTTATCTGGCCCAGTGCTTCCTCCTGCTTCGAACTATGGCATCCTGGGATTGTTCCTATATCTAAGACCTTAGGATATGACACAAATTCATTTGTTTCGTTGAGGCTTAGAGACTAGCAAAGCTACTTAAAAACAATGATTATTTTCATTTGTAGGAGTGTGTCCCTGCTTGTATGCATATGTAACACTTATATGTTAGGTGCCCTTGGAGGCCAGAAGAGGGTCAGGTCCCCTAGGACTGGAGTTACAGATGGTTGTGAGCTGCCATGTGGGTCCTCTGGAAGAGTAACCAGTGCTTCTAACCACGAAGCCATCTCCCCAGCCCGAAGTCTCAGGACTTTCCTGCCCCCTCTTTTTTTGTTTCTGTGTTTCTGTTGTGTTTTGTTTGTTATCAAAACAGGGTTTCTCTGTGTAGCCCTAGCCGTCCTGGAACTCACTGTGTAAACCAGGCTGGCCTCAAACTCAAAGATCTGTCTGCCTTTGCCTCCCTAGTGCTGGGGTCCTGGCTGTACCCCATCTTTTTGAGTTGAGGATGCAGGAACTTTTTCTGAAGAGACCCAGGGAATGTGTGTGTGTGTATATGTATGTATGTATGTATGTATGTATGTATGTATGTATGTTAGTCATTCACTCTTCACAGGCAGGTTTAGCCCTGAAGGCTTGTTTGTCAGTTTCTCTAGATCAGAAATGCAGTGAGACATGGTGACCACCAGAGGGCAATCTGTGCTTTCCCTTGGAATTAAGAGTTTGTCACTGGACCCTACCTAAAAAAGGGCTTGCTAGAGGCTATGGCATGGCTTAGTGGGTGAATCAGACTGACTCACTAAGTTCAGTCCCTAGGACCCACATTGTAGAAGGAGAGTACCAACTCCCGTGTGTTATGTGAGCACGCACGCACACAGACACACACTAAATAGATGTATTAAAACGTTTAATGGGCCTGGCATTGGTGGCGCACGCCTTTAATCCCAGCACTCGGGAGGCAGAGGCAGGCGGATCTCTGTGAGTTCGAGACCAGCCTGGACTACCAAGGGAGTTCCAGGACAGCCTCCAAAGCCACAGAGAAACCCTGTCTCGAAAAAAACCAAAAAAAAAAAAAAAAAAAAAAAAAGTTTAATGGAACTCTGAAGAACCATGAAGCACAAGAACACTGGCTCGTTTCTTTTTGTGATGTAATGTTACCCGAGACTTGCCCTTCTCCCTATCATGAGTGCTGAGAAATTTATATCATGAGGAATTTGCTCCCTAACCTGCTAAGATACTGCTGACAACATCAGCTCCTTCCTGCCCTCTGGTGCCCATGTCATCTTCAGAAGTCATCTGATCCTAAGCATCACTTGGAGGGTCAATTTGCTTGTTTGGTTTTTGTTTTGTTTGGTTTGGTTTGGTTTGGTTTGGTTTTTACAAGACAGGGTTTCTCTGTATTGTTTTGGAGGCTATCCGTCCAGCCCGGCCTCGAACTCACAGAGATCCGCCTGCCTCTGCCTCCTGAGTGCTGGGATTAAAGGCGTGCGCCACCACCTCCCGGCCGCTTGTTTGTTTTTGAGATGGGGTCTCCGTTTGTAGCTCAGGTTGGCCTTGAATTCAAAATGATAATCCTTACTGAAGTCAATTACACGTGTCAGTTGCCACATCTAGCTGGTTGACTGGCTTCCTTCCTTCCTTCTTTCCTTCCTTCCTTCTCTCCTTCCTTCCTTCTTCCCTTCTCTCCTTCTTTCCTTCCTTCTTCCCTTCCTTTCCTTCTCTCCTTCCTTCCTTCCTTCTTTCCTTCTTTCCTCCCTTCCTTCTTTCCTTCCTTCCTCCCTTCTTTTCTTCCTTCCTTCCTTCTTTCCTTCTTTCCTTCTTTCCTTCCTTCCTTCTTTCCTTCTTTCCTTCTTTCCTTCCTTCCTTCTTTCCTTCTTTCCTTCCTTCTTTCCTTCTCTCCTTCCTTCCTTCTTTCCTTCCTCCTTCCTTCCTTCTTTCCTTCTTTCCTTCCTTCATTTACTCTATTGATGTGTATTTATTTTATTAGTTATTTTGGGTTTTGTTTTGTTAGAGACAGGGTCTCATGTAATCCAGACTGGCCTAGAACTTGGTAAGTAGCAGAGAATAGCCTTGAACACTCCTGACCATCTTGTCTCGGCCTCCAAAGTGCTGAGATCACAGGCCTGTCTTATCACCTGCAGTGGATAGCTCTTTAGTTATCCATGTCTACCTGGAGGCAGCTTTTATCCACGGTTTTAAGCCATATTTTATGCCGATCATTCAAAGCCTGCATGCCTATTCTGAGCTCCGGACTACATTAAATTACTTCTAGATAATGTATCTGGATGTTCTGCAGTCGCTTCCATTAGAACATTCCTGAAGCATAAGTCATGGCCTGTTTTCGTCTTC